TTGGTTCCCAGTTCTCTCATTTTCCCTTAACTAATTTATAATTGTATATCTACTGTTTCTTTGTGATTGTTTTCTATGTCTCCATTATTTATTACATGTGAACTGTTTAACATATTGTAATCAGTATCTAAGTCTCTGAAATGCATGATAATAAATAATATATATATATATATATCCTTTGAGATAATTGGCATTGTTTTACATTTTACTTAAGAATTTATGATTAAATAGATTGCTTTGATTCTACTAGATCATCTGTGTTACAGTCTTTGTGATGATGTCGAAGGGGCAGGTTTAAATATGAAAATTGAAATTCTCTGTTATGTTATTGTGGAGTGTATGTGTCTTTGGTTTACTGTGTATCATGTGCTGGTTAACAATTCTTCTCTTATAAAGGTGTTTACCCTTTTCTCTTTGTGTAAGGTATGGTTCTGAGTTTCCCATAGCTGGAAATGATCTTTTAAAGCAATGGAAGTATTACATCTTCTATTTTTGTTAATCTCCCTTTATAAGTTATGATGAATGCAAATTCTTGTTTTCTATATTTTTGAGTCAAGAAGCCACGAGTCTTCCTGATCGTCTCTAGTAACTTGTAACTTGACTTTGTTTGCTATTGACTTCTCTTTTCCAAAACCCAATTTGATTTTATTTGATTTTGCAGGTCATATACTGCACAAGCTTAAACTGGAGTGCTGATGGGAGCACATTATTCTTTTTCTTTTCTTTTTTTTTTCTTTTTTTTTATAAGGGCAATGATTAGATGTTAGTATATTAGAGGTTAGTATGTTAAAGGTGTTAGTGAGGGGTATTGAACCCAAGACTTGAGAGTGCAAACCATGGGCTGCCATTTGGGGCAGCAAGTGGCCACTGGGCCACGGCACGTGGAATGCGGGAGCACATTATTCAGTGGTTATACAGATGGTGTCGTTAGAGTTTGGGGAATTGGTCATTACTAGGAAGCATTAGAATAAATGTCTATCCTGTTTTATCCAAGTTACAGACAATTTGCATTTTGTAGTCTTCAAGATTTTGTTTAAATTTCTAAAGGATCTTTGAGGTGTTCTCTTTTGTATTTGGATATTACATGGAATCAAGCCTTGTGCTATTTTGCTTTGGTTATCAAATTAGATATCTGATTGTTTGCTCCTATTATCATTGAATTAATAATTTACTGTTTGGTAGGCTCAATTTTATCTAGTGAGGCTGTGTTGTAAGATCTACCACTGCTGTTGAAACCTGTATTCTTTCATTCAAGTTGCAGTTCTCCAAATAAGAGGATCTTTAAAGATTTTTACTAATTCTAAAGTAATTCACTTATTTTGTTGCTTGGAGCACAAAAACTATCCATTGACATGATTGATACTTGCACAAAGCCTCGCCGTTTGATTTTTGATAGTTATTGTTACGTTATTTGAGTCCCTTGTATTGATAATATCATAGAGCTTGTTTCTGTTTTAATAGTTACTTACTGTTGTATAATTTTATATTGTTTGAATTACACAATAATTTTATTGTTGTTATCTATAATTCATATGTTTATTTGTAAACTGTTATATCAAATATCTTTTAGCGTCACTCATTTTTCATTTGGTTTTGACTCATTTGAGTTGGGGGAAAAACTTATCTTCATTTCTCATTTGAAACTTGGGGGTAAATCTACAATGATTGTGTTAACCCAGTTGGCTACCCAAGACGGGGTGAATTGGATCTTATCAATCAAAACTCATTTCTTTTTCTTCAAAAGACGAATCAAATTTCCAATATATATAAACTATTGTGCAAAATAAACAAACAATAATTATAATCTTACAAATAAAGTGCAGAAAAAAATAAAAAGAAAGAGAAGAGAATATCAAGCCGTGATTTATAGTGGTTCCTCCAACCCGGAGTACATCCACTCCCCAAGCCTCTTTACTCGAGAGATCAATCCACTAGGATTCTCTTATTTACGGGTGCAAGATTAAATTGGAACAAACTCTTGCTTGCGGGTGCAAGATTAAACCTTCACACTCTTGCTTCAAGGGGCAAGAGTACACCCTCACAAGTGAATCTCAACAACTCACTTAACCCCTTCAAGGATTATCCCAATCTAAGAAGAATACAATACCCTTGAAAGAAAAGACAACTAACCCAAAAAGCCCACAAGAAGAAGAAGAAGAAGAAGAAGAAGAAGAAGAAGAAGAAGAAGAAGAAGAAGAAGAAGAAGAAGAAGAAGAAGAAGAAGAAGAAGAAGATTCAAAACTGTTTCGATTTCAAACTCTGTTTCTCTATCTTCCTCACTCAAGTCTGTTCAGTAGTGTTGCCAGATCTGATTTTTAAAGCCCTTTTAATAGTTGGTTAATTGGGAACTCTTGCAATTAAAGCCTATTGTGCCCTTCAAAGCCACCTCACAATTGCTCTAATAAGATTCCACCCTTTGTCTACTTCCTATAACAGACTCTGACTTGTCTTGGAATGTGCTTAGTCATTTGGATCCTTTTAAGGCCCATTAAGACAAAACAGATAATTGAACAGCCAAAAGGTGTACCTTCCAAAATTTTTGCTTCGAAACTAGAAATATTAGTTCGAAATATTTTTGGAAAAACTAAAGGCCAAAACCCCTATTTGCACTTTCCATTTAATTTTTTTTGCCGGCAAAAACCCCCAAAAATTTTCCCCCCTAATCAAAACCCCAAACTTTCAAAAACAAAGAAAAAACCAAAAATTTAAAACCCCCACAAAGCAACGGTAAAAAAAGCAACAACGGGCAACAAGGAACCGTAAGAAACCAAAGGGGAACCCTTTTTTTGATGATGTGGCTTATTTTCTACACATGGACACCACGTGTACAGTGAGACCAACAAAAAAAATTATAATAAGTGGTACCAAACAGTTACATAAATATGTCACCTTATTAATCCAATGTGGACTTTTTTTTTTATGATGTGGCATTTCTTCATCTTTTTCTTTCCCCCTCATCCTCGGCATCATCCTCACCATCCTACATCTTCACCATCCTCCATCTTCTCAATGGGTTCTACGAAACCCAGATTCTGGGTTCCTTACGAGGAACCTAGATTCTATGGGTTCTTACACGAAACCCAGATTCTGGGTTACGACCATTTTTTTTTTTTCATTTTTTTATTTTGAATGTATTTATTTTAGTTTCCTATTTTATGCAAAGCAATTTAGAATAATTTTTTTTGTTGTTGGAAAGGTGAGTTTCTTTGCTTGGAGATTGTTTCTGAACAGGTTGCCAATTTGAGTTCAAGTGGGATTAACATGAATGGCAATAATGGTTTTTTCGTTTTTTGTGGGAAAGGGATAGAAGATGCATATCATGTTTTTGTGCAGTATTTATTTACTTATAATTGTGTGGATGAAGATCTTAGCTTGGTAGGCATTCATGTAAAACTGGGTTCCATGAGAAACTCAAAACCTGGGTCTCGCGAGGAACCCAAGAGGATGAGGACGAGATAGTGAAGATGATGCCGGGAAAAAAGAAAATGAAGAAATTAAAATTAATTATGATTTAATTATAACACCTTATAAAAAAAAAAGTCCACATTGGATTAATAAATGTGACATACATCTTGGGTTCCTGTTGGATGAAGAGGAAAATGGTAAAGATGATGCCGGGAAAAAAGAAAATGAAGAAATTAAAATTAATTATGATTTAATTATGCCACATCATCAAAAACAAAAGTCCACATTGGATTAATAAGCTGACATAACGTTCATACTACTGTTTGATGCCATGTATTACAAATTTTAATGGTTATTAACGTTTCCATGACGGCACATTAAAATATTAGGTTTTTCACGGGTTTTCAAAAGTTAAGGGTGTGAATAGGGAGGAAAAATTTTGGAAGGTGTTGACCACGAAAAAAAATTAAATGGAGGGTGCAAATAAGGGGTTTGGCCAAAACTATACTACGGGATTGGTTTGAATCAATCCCAGAACTCTAGACAAGGAGGACATGATTTAATTCTAATCATAGGGAAAGATTAAAATCCTTGAATTAGCTTTTCTGCACACTTAGCATAAAAATAGATTAAACTCCTTAAATGATGGTTTTAAATCATCATCAAAATACAAAGAGAACCTAACAATCTCCCCCTTTTTGATGATGACAGAACCATGCCTTAAAATAATAAAGATAATAAATGTAAACTCCCCCTCAAAATTTGCTTCCAAGTTTCAATAGGAAATGCACAAACAAATAATAAAGATAATTTTCATTTAAGTTCCTCTCCCCCTTTTTGTCATTAGCAAAAAGAAACATATAAATTAGCATAGCATAGAGTTCAAACATACAAATTAGCAAAATTCAGTAGACAAAACACAAAAGGCTGTTGAAGAATTTTCAAAATATTTTCAGGATTTGGGTTTGAATCACAAAAAGTTGATTCGAAGCAATTGCACAGAATGCATTTGAAAAAGTGTAACTTTGGTTCGAATCATATAATTATGATTTGAACCATTTACGTAAAACTAGAATCCAAAAAGTTATGATTTTGGTTTGAATCATATAAATGTGATTCGAACCATTTACATAAAAAATTAGAGATAGAATTTTGATAAGTTTATGAAGAGAGTGGATAACTTTGGAAGGCAAAGAAACAAGTGAATTGGAATTCAAATCAAACCAAATGACTTTTGGAAGAGGTTTCAATGGATAAAATTGAAAAGGAGTGCCTATTCCCAACAGACATCTTGCCTCTATAAAAATGGAGTAATCTCTTCTTTAAGAGAGTCTTTGAACCCAGAAATATCTAAATAAAATAACTCCTTCTTATATTGTGATTGCTCTAGAAATCACTATACAAAAACTATTGTTTTGTCACTTTCCAAAGGATGGTTCAGTAGTTGATCTTGCTAGTGCAAAGGCTAGATCAACAAGGCGCTTCATTGTATCCTATGAGCATTTCGGGTTACCCTTTTTGCATACCAGATCTGGTGGGAGCAAAATTAGCCCAAAGGAAAGTGGTATTTGTAGCACGACTTAAAGCCGATAATCTAATGATCTATTTTCTAACCCCTTATTTCTCCAACAATCTTTATGCTAATTTTCAAGTTTTTTGGGATCATCACTTATTGGTTAATTGAGAAGAAACTTGCGTTAAAATGGATTTGAAGCCAAGGAGATATGGCATGCAACAATGGCAAAACCAAATGGATTTTTGGCGCTTTAAATCGTGTGCAAAAATGGTGATTCATCAACCATCAAAATGGTGATCAATCATAGATGAGGCGATAGTTGCTGGACGTTTCACAATAAAGCAAAGGAAATCTATTTTCATGAAAGATCAAACAATGGAGACATGATTCTGATTTTTAAAGCTATTTTAATAATTGGTTGGGAGCTCTTGCAATTAAAGCATGTTTCAATTTCAAACTCTGTTTCTCTGTCCTTCTCACTCAAGTCTGTTCAGTGGTGCTGCCAGATTTGATTTTTAAAACCCTTTTAATAATTGGTTGGGAGCTCTTGCAATTAAAGCCTATTTTGCCCTTCAAAGCCACCTCACAACTACTCCAATCAAATTCCACTCTTTTTCTACTTCCTATAACAGACTATGACTTGTCTTGGAATGTGCTTATTCATTTAGATCCTTTTAAGGCCCATTAAGACAAAACAGATAATTGAACAGCCAAAGGTGTACCTTCCAGAATTTTTGCTTCAAAGCTAGAAATATTGATTCAAACTGTTTTTGGAAAAACTAAACTACGAGATTGGTTAATAATTGGTTGGGAGCTCTTGCAATTAAAGCCTATTTTGCCCTTTAAAGCCACCTCACAATTGCTCCAATCAAATTCCACCCTTTTTCTACTTCCTATAACAGACTCTGACTTGTCTTGGAATGTGCTTATTCATTTAGA